TCCGCGCCAGTACTCTAGTTACTGCAGTCTTGAGCTTGGCTGGAAGACCGAGGAGATACTTTAGCCTCAGGCATAGCTTTGGCCTCGCTATCGTGCGACAAGCTCCCAGCCTCGTTGTCAACTTCGATTCCATCCAGATACTCAAACCCAGTAACGATGCGCGGAATGAGGGTTTCATGGGCAGGAAAGAACAGATTGCAGAAGTAGTACAAGAAGATGGACAGGAAGAACCCATACAGCCAGTTGAACGTGAAGAGATTCTGGAGACCCGCCGAGAGCTTCAACTCCGGATTGACTTTGTTGGCCAGGCCTGGCAACAGAGGGATGATGGTGACGAACGTTGCGACAACAGCGCGCCAGTTTGTACCGTAGCGACCGTATCGGTAGATGCCTCTTGGGTCGTACAAAGCAGGGACATCGTACTTCCTATGCTTCACCAGCCAGTAGTCCGTGAAGAGAATGCCTGCCATGGGCGCCATGAAGATGGCATATGCGCTCATGAAGTTGAGGAACGCTTTTCCGGACGCTACGATGATCCAAGGACATAGCGCCCAGCCGCCGATGAATGCGACGAGAATGGAACCGCGGCGTACGTTGACGTACTTTGGCGCTAGCGTCGTGACGTCATTGGCAAAAGAGACGGCATTCGCACTAATGTTGACACTAAGCTGCCCAAGCAACCAGATGGAAGCACAGAAGAAGGCTGCTGCCCTGCCACCAGGAGTATCCCAGGTATCGATGATTTGTAGTGGCGTCCAATAGGCTTTGCCCCAGATCTCTTGGGCTGCGGATGCAGAGACGATTCCCATGAGAGCGACCATAGTCTTGAAGAAAGGGATTACCGGCATCTGCCAGTATTGCGCTGTCGGATCTTTGCTAAAGCGGGAGAAGTCGGGAATGTTGACAGCGAGTGTGCTGTATCCACCAGTAATGCTAGTCATGCTCGATAACCATAGCCAGGCCCTTTCAGCACCATGCACCGAGGCCGGACGTGTAAAGAAAGTGCCATTACCGCCTGCTTTGACAGCAACCCAAACTGTCATTCCAATGGCTACGGGTGGTAGCAGTACTGTCTTCACCCAGAACATGTACTGTAGTCTGTGCGTCGGGATGAGAAGGAACGGGAATTGAATGAGCCAATACAGGAAGTATGAGATCATCCCGGCCGTCGTGAGACCGACCGATGCAGGTAGATGGTTGGGAATATCGCGAAAGCTTGGCCAGATAGCGTTCAAAATCTAGGAAGCAATGTCAGGAGACGCATCCATCAGGCCATTCTTGGTGTAACGTACCGCGGTGACGCATGTACCTCCGTTGGCTGTTTGAACCCCGAACCAAAACATAGCCAAAACACCTCTGCTCACTATGGCAAAGTAGCTAAACCAATAACCAAAGCTGGCGCGAGACGCGATGGGGAACGGAATATGCAGGTTCGAGCCGATAGCGCCGTTGAGTACGGTGGGCAGAGCGTTGCATATACCCGCCACGAGCGTTATGAGCACGGCATCGGTTGCCGTCAGACCTACTCCAATTAACATCATATCCTCAAGATGACTTCGACTGTCGCAAACTTACCAAGTGTGAAGATGGCAGACCCTGAGCTCCAAGTCGATATGGTAACAAGGTCACTGAACCAGTACGTTACGAATGCGCTCTTACCCCAAGTCCGCTTTTCCGGTGGTACTGGCTCCATATCGGCATTGGTCCATACATCGGGCGGTGCGATGCTGCTGTTTTGCTTAGGAAGTTGCCAGCTCGATGGCTGCGTTGTGCGAAGCTTCATCTTCTCTTTTGCCGCGTGGCTGCGACTGCGTATGCTGCCTGTAAAGTGCATTGTGAGGGGCTTCTGTTGTGTTATGCGCCCATGTGATTCGAGCAGTCTTCTTCTGAGCTCATCAAAAGTCGTTTAGCGATGAAAATCTCCAGCCGTTCGAGTAAAGCGATGACGGATAGATAGGTGACCGACGATGTACTTCGAAGTTGCGTCCGAGTCCGATCTTCCACAAAGATAGCAAGCTATCCTCATCTTATGAAGTCAGGATATATGTGCTGCGTCTCGCGGCAGGTGTCAAAGATAGACAGCTGCGCTTACGTCGCACCGCGCTGAGCAAAAGATGGGGTAGTCTGGGCTGATCTTATCATTCCTCGTGACGTGATTGGGCCATACCTCGTCGCTATCATAGATAAGTATATGTTCCTTGCCCATATCGCTATCGTGTTGCTGCATTTGATGGGAGGTGTTCCTGCTGCAATGAGACGCGTGGAGATGATATGCAAGCGTGCGCCACCTGAACGGGGAGGATGAGAGCCGAAGGTCGGCCGGCGCTAGTGCCGACGCTTATCAGTTCGCTCCAGGGCTATCTCCAAGCGACCATCCCGCAACCTCCGTGTTTATCACTGGAAACTTCAATCTTCTCGACTATGGCGCCGGATTGTCCGCTTGGTCTCGACTTGGCATGGCATCTCATCCGCGAAGCAGGCTGACGTGCGCAGCTTGTGCGAAGCGGAAAGTCAAGTGCAGTAAGACGGTACCCTGCGACAACTGCATCAGACGAGGTCAAAAAGATACGTGCGGTATCGACGATTTGCATGGCGATGTAAGCTCTCCAACGCGTTCTTCCGACCAAAGATCATGTGAGCTCGACTATTTGCGACAGCGGGTCGCACAGCTCGAAAGCGAAACATGCCAGCGAAGCCCGACGAACATTGCGACTCCGCCCGGAACTCTGCAACCTGAAACACCAAACGATAGGCTTCCAGATGAGTCCGCAGATGAGCCCTACGACGCTGCTGTTTCTCGAGATACCGCGACGGTACTGGAATTCCTCGCTTGGGGAAGAAGGAAAGAGCCTCACTGTCACACAGTCGCGTCCCTCGAACCCGTGGATGATATTCCGATTGAAGCGGGTCCAGGCATTTTCGATGACTTGTCCCAGCTTTCGGTGCTTCAACTACTTCTTCCAAGCCTCCACCAAGTTCGACAGTTGGTAGAATACCACCATGAAAGCCTGTTGTGGTACCATGGCAGCTACTTCGTTCCTACTTTCCAGGCACAACTCCAAGATTTCTACGATAGAGATAATGGGCTCATCGAACAATCAACTACGGATCTTCAATGGGTAGCTTTGTTATTCGCTATCTTGGCCGCTAGTCTTGTATGTGCACCCGATCTGCGAGCGCAATCATGGGGATTTGACATGGCCGAGCGACAGAAGCTCTCGCGACGATGGTATCAAGCTATTTTCACTTGCCTTAACCGGGCGGATTATACGAGTAACTTGAGCATCCATTCTTGCCAAGCTATAGCCACGGCAACCGTTTCAGCCCATCTCCTAGGGTTCAGTACAAAGCAAAGCATCCATCTCGCAACGGCTGTACGCATTGCTCAATCTTTGGGCATCCATCGCTTAGGGCCAGACGCCAGTGGAGGTGTCGTAGCAAATGAGACTGGTCGTAGAGTTTGGTGTCAACTTTGCAGTCAGGACTGGTTCAGCATACCGTTCTCGGAAAGCTACCTGGTCATTCCAAGATACTCGACATCAACCCCACCGCTGAACAGCCACGACAAAGATTTGACCGCCGTTGACGCGGACGTTCCTACTACTACAAGCTATTCTCTATTCTTGCGCAACATCGCGATAATCATGCCCCAGCTTCAGGACGGCCTCGTATCATGCAATACACCTTACACACGTTACGAAACGGTCTTGCATTGGGATGCGCGACTTCGAGAACTGGCCACTCGTGGAAGGCCAGTTTTCATGACGAATGCACCGTTGGATCCGAGCTGGCCCACGTGGGTACCATGGGCGCGGCGCGCTCTAGCCATTACGTCGAGTCACAAGATCATCATGATTCATCGTTCTTTTCTACTGGACAGTTTCGTCAATCCTGCTTTCGAGTTCACCCGCCGAACATGTCTCGCAGCCTCCAAAACGATCGTCAAGGAGTACAAGGCTTTGATCGGGGAAGATGGCCCCACCTTGTGGATTCATCAAGCATTTGCCGTCGCAGCATCCATCACCCTCTTGCTGGATGTACTACATCGCGAGATCAACGAGAATGAGTGTTCCGAGCATCGTGCGCTTGTTGAAGAAGTCTTGGAGATCCTGCAGCGGCGCCCAGAGAGTATGATTGCGGTTAGAGGCGTCAGACTTCTTAAAGCTTTGCTTGCTCAGGCGTCGCACGAGACCTTGTCCCAAAGAAGAAGAAAGCGTAATCGTGACGGTACACCCGCTTCCAAATTTGACGTCTCGACCCTCGTTAGGAACTTCTATCAGACCAACAATGGCGACAGCCACCCTTCGCTACGTCCTGCAGCCACATCAGGATCTACTACCGACCAACCTCCTACATATGACTCGGAAGAAAGCAATCCCCTCGCCACCACGTTTGAACAGCCGCAATCTGCATTTGCTTTCTCGGCCTCAGGCTTCGCAGGTACCAATGGTTTTGATGATCTTCTGTACCTAGCGAATTACGATTTCGCGTTGGCGTAATTTCTCGTAGCTATCCCTTCCAACTGGTAGTATCCAGCGCAACGTAGCTCGATACGAGATGAAAATCGCATTTCACATCACTAGCGCGGTCGATTCGTACGTTTGCTGAGTCAATCTGATTCATTCGATGATGGCTTCCATCAGTTGCTGCACCGCTTTCTCAACCCCCGGGAGATCCTCCAATATCGGCTGATGACCACTTTTCACAACATGCACCCAGCTTCTTCCTCCAACTAATGTACTGAGATCTTGCGACCGCTGCACTGGGCTGATCATATCCTTATCTCCTGCCACGAAGACTATAGGACATGTGATGTCCTGGTATTGCGGATCTTTGTGGCTACTATCCACGATAGCTTCACATGTTTGCGCATAGGCCTCGGGGTCTGCAGAGCTCACATCCAGCCTCACGGCTTCTCGAGATGCTGGGTCTACCTTTAGGTTTTGGCTACGGATTCACTGTTAGCACGGTCTCGACATTCTTCTGGGCTCATCATGTGCTTACCTATCGTCGTAGAAGTTAGACTTGGCCGCAAGATCCGCTGCATGCTTGATGCCTTCCTTCCTCACCGCGGCCGCAAGATCGAGCATGCGCTGTCGAACAGCGGTGATGTGACCGGCCGCTCGACCAGGACCAAGGAGCAAGAGACCTGCAACAGACTGTGGATATATTGCAGTATACTGCAGAGCAATAATGGCGCCGAGCGAATGTCCAGCGATAACGGCTTTGGACGGGGCTACAATTTCCGACTTTGTCAGATGTGTGATAAGATCGTCCAAGTCGGAAACAAGCCCTTCAACTGAAAGTGCTTTCGTGACACCTGCTAGTGGCGTCTTCCCGAAACCAGGAAAGTCGACAAGAACAATGTTGTAGGCCTGGGGTAGGGAAGGTACGAGGGGCGAGAATGTTTCGGTAGAGCCTCCGAGCCCATGGAGACATACTAGAAGCGGACCAGAAGGATCACCACCTTGTAGGTAATGTGTGTTTGTACCGGAGGTCGTCTTGTAGTGCGAGGAAGTGAGACTGCGAGCAATCATCGTGAGAGTGTGCGATTTGAGTCTTCGATCGTGAGCAACGAAATTCTTACTCTTGTGACGAACGCGGCGTGGATATGAACGTATGCATGGTATCTAAATGCGGTGTAGCCAGGCTCGTGAAGGTGCGGGTATATCCGAAAGTGATGGAGGTGGATACTCGGCCGAGGTCCCGAGCCTGGCTGATAGGAGCCCGAGGTAGTATCAACGCACCCACACAAAGATGCGCAGCTCGGGATGTCGCCATACAAGCATTGTCGGGCTGTTATGTCAGGCGTATGTACTCGAGCTAGACTTGATATTGTCATATAGTCAACGATAATCTCAAGACTATTCCTATGTCTCCCTACATGTAAATTGTAAAGGCCCACCAACCTCAGATTCTACTCAGCTATCAACATCATGGTCGTCACGGCAGTCATAACCGAAGAAACCAACTGTTTGCGTCTCAAAGCAGAGAAGCCCATTATCGATCTCCCACATGCCGATACGACCACCGGACGCGTCGTGCCCATCAAGCACGCGGAAGGTAGCCAGGTAGACTTTGGCGCCGAGATCTACGGCATCGATTTGAACAACTTCACGGATGCAGACTTTGAGTTTGTTTCTGATGCACTACATAAGTGGAAACTGTTGGTGTTCAAGGAGCAGCCGCAGATGCTGAAGCCGCAGCAGCAATATCTGCTTACAGCCAAGTAAGTCGCTAGAAGGCCGCCTATTCAACAGATCTAAATCGGCATTAGCTTCGACCGCGAAGAAACAACCGGTGGTTTCGCTCACGGTCACGACCCTTTTCTCACCCACCACAATGGCGTGGACTTCTACGGCATTCCCAAGCGTCCAGCAATCCCAGTACAGCCACAAGTACATATTCTTGGACGCGGACCCGTTCCAGAAGGTCACTTTGGCTTCCCACCGGGCTTCGAAGTCCAAGGTATTGACCACGAAGAGTTCCATCTTCCACCGCACATACCCGCGGAAGAGCGCGAGGCCGGCGCCTCGCGGTTCTACCAATGGCATTTCGACGGATCTTTGTATGACATTCCTCCTCCGCGTGTGGGCTGTCTCTTGGCTGTTCGAACTCCCAAGGGTCCAGATGTGACTGTGCGATGGGAGGATGAAGCCGGAACGCAGATGAAGATGGCGCCGGGAGCTACGGCGATGGTCGCTGGTAGTCGTGCGCTGGCGCTACTCGATGAGGAGACACGTAACATCGTCCTGAACAGCAAGATTGAGTACGCGCCACATGCCTTCGTCTGGATGTCCAAAGCGCACAGTACCCGTCTCGGCCATTCCCTCGAAACCGAAGGCCTTGAAAAGGCACTGGACGAGCTGCCGAAATGGGAGAAGAGCAAATTCTGTGTGTACCCGATGGTATGGACGAATCCGAAGACTGGTGAGAAGTCGCTGCAAGTGCATGGCCAGGGCGCTCTCAAGCTACATCTCAAGAGTAGTGCAGATGGACCTGAAAGGGTCGTTGACGACTTGGGAGAGGTCAGGAAGTTCCTTGATGAGTAAGTAGCGTATTCCCGTCCTCCATTCGGAAGCTGACTGAAAGCAGGCTCATGCGACCGGCGTTGCAACCCGAGAACATATACGCGCACCCGCATCAGGAGCAGGATGTCATCCTGTGGTACAACCGCGCGCTATGGCACAGCATTGTAAGTTCATACTCTCATGATGAGGCTGAAATGCAACATTGGCTAATGCTCTCTTCCGTCTAGACTGAGTTTCCCAAGTCATATGGGCCGCGTGTGATGCATCAGTGCAACATTGCGGCGAGCGATCATCCGTCAGGGTGAGGAGGCCATGGCATATGTACATAAATTCGAGGCGCAGCTAGTCGCGTAGTAGAGGTTCATGATGAGGTAGCTGCAATGTGGTATAAAACAAGACGCGTGAAAGTTGTGGATGTCAATTGTGCGCGTGTGCTTGCGACAGGAGTCGATGACGCGTGGCGAGTCATGCCACGATCACGTGATCGTGCCCTTGCCCATCAAACCATGAGGTCTCCCTGAACAGGGTTTTTCAACACCTCACCACTGCCATTCTTCTACTGCACAGCATGCGCCATTATGATTCTGCAATCACCTCCCGCAGGTCCCACCGAGTCACCGCGAAATTGCTGTAGCGCGTTCTAACACCAAAGATCACGACAATGAGCTCGACGCGTCGCAAATGTGCTCGGCTCTATCTCCCATGACGCGAACACCACATGCAATGGTCGCGAGAGCAGCTGACTGCATCTTGCGTTTCGCGTTTCGGTGACTGCGCTTGTCACCCGTGCACTGAGAGTGCGCCGCCCGGTTAGCGATTGCTATCTCGCGACATCGTAGTCGGATGCGAACATGCGCCCACTGCTTTCGAGTGACCCGACTCTCCAGCCACCGCGCTCATACTGGTCACAGATTGCGAAGTCGGCCGAGCGCAGCAGCTCCCATGAGTTGACTCTCGGCCGGGACTTGGCTGCTGATAAGATAACGTCCATGGATCTTAGCGAAGGGCGCCTCCCAGGGAAACATTCCCCGCACGTTCGGTAAATGCACTGCTACAGTATGAAGCGCCTGAGATAGGGTCATTGATAACGACCGAGTGCTAGATGGGAATGCGGGGATGGCCGTTGAGTAAGAGTGGGTGGATGAGCATGGTCTCGACTTTGAGCATATATGTCGCGTGGGGATTGTAGATCAAGGCTGGCTGATGGTGTAGACACTTATGACATCGGGCTTTGCGTTCTCACCACTCGAACTTTCGCTTCTCCTGTTCAAAACTCACCGCCAGAGACCGCCGCCTAGAAGGAAGATCGCCGGTCATCATTTCCCTCGACATCGGCCAAGGATCATGGCACCAGGCATCCTGGCCCCTGAGCCCACCTTCGTGGTGAAGGAGATGGAGAAGACTGTCAAAGAGAAGCACAACTTTGGAGCGGTGATCGATGACCTCGATCTGAACAGCATCAGTGGTAAGCACACTGGCGGCATGACAATGGCAATGCGATTAGCTAACGTCGCGTTATAGACTCCGACGTCAAAGCGCTATCAGACGCGATCTGGACCCACAAGCTTGTTGTTGTCAAGGGTCAGAAGAACCTCGCGCCCATCAAGCAATGGGAGCTTGTCACACGCTTCGATCCCAAAGCACCACATGTGCATTCCCATGGCGATGTCAAGACCTTCCACAAACAGGGTGGCCTACTATCGGTAAGAGTCACCTCTAACCAAGTGGACTGCCCCGCTAATCCGGCTCCAGAGAGGACGCGATGTTGTCGGCATACCCGGCGCGGAGAACGTCCGTCTGATCGGCAAAGGCTACCAAGGATCAGACCACTACGGCCTCAAAGATGCAACCATCAAAAAGGAACTCGCGCACGCATGGCACGACAAACCGCTTCCAGAAGAAGAGTACGCGCAAGGCCACACACGCTTCCAACGCTGGCATATCGATGCACCACTATACGCGCGTGATCCGGCCTGGTTTACCACCCTCCGCTGCATCAAGCGACCCACATCTCCAGAAATGACCATACATTGGGATGACGGCAGTGGCATGACCATGAAGACTGAACCAGGTCTGACCGCCTTCTTCAGCAACGTACAGACATACGACATGATGACAGAGCAAGAAAAGAAGATTGCCGACCACTCATGGGTCGAATATGCACCCCACCCTTACCAATGGATGGGTGACTGCAAAGGCCAGTCTCACGGTCTAGGCCTAGTGAGTCAAGGTAAAGAAAAGTTAACGGAAGACCTTGGGCCCTACGAAGAAAAAGACATCAAACGCTACCCCATGGTCTGGGTGAACCCAGTGACAGGCGAGCGCGCCTTCATGGTCCACGGTATCTGCGTCCGGCGCGCATTCGTTCGGTCAAGCGAAGACGAAGAACCAACCATCATCGATGACGTTGCGGAGATAAGGGCGTGGTTGAAACCCATCCAAGAACGCGTACTAAAACCGGAATACATCATGCTGCCGAAGACTGAAGAAGGAGATATCATCATGTGGGCCAACTACCAGATGTTTCATACTGCCGTGGATTACCCGGATCAATGGGGTGCGCGGACGATGCATCAGGCAAACATCGGGGCGAGTAGTGGGCCGGTTGGGCCGGTGGCTATTCCTGGTGTTGCATAGGAGATGGTGGTAGTATGGTACGGTATCATAAGATTACGGTATGAGAATACAACGCTTTCCCAGTCTTCTATCACCACTTCCACCCTCGCATGTAGCTGGCATATGCGGGTATCGCGTCGACTGCGGTATCAGATCCCCATCATGTCGTCTTCTGGCCCAAGCATACAGTCGCCCTCGTGTTGCGCTACACCCACGTAGTCTTCACATGTCGCATCAGCGACCCATACCTATCAACAGCACGTTTAGCCTTAAAGGGGAGACAGAGTTCCAGCACGCCAGCCAAGTGCAGAGCGGAAACGCCAAGGCAGTATGATAAAGTACTCTACAGTATATAGCTCAGAAGCTAAAAGTAAGAAAAAATCAACGCTCTGTCGAAAAGTGATGACGCGTCCAATCTGGGCGCTGGTTGGGGAGGCTTTGGGTACACCCGTTGTATCGTAAGCTCCGCGACCCATGTTGTTGGACCCTGATTCTCAGAACATCATGATGTTGACGCAACCCGCGCTTTCACCACCTCTCATGTCTCCGCTATCAAGAATTTACGGTCGACTGGGGAGGTACGCGGGATCGGGCTGTGATACTAGTAGGTTTACATGGTCGATAAAAATCGGGGTTTGAAGGTTCGCGAACCCGGTTCGGTTCTCTAGGACAATGTCAGTTATTTACCTGGGATGCGACAGGTTTCCGGAAGACCTACCGAGTCCTTTAGAATTTTTGTCGCCAAAACGCCTTTTCCTAAACATATGCCTGATAACAAGGACGGATGGAGGGAACCCCGTCAAGAGAGCGACAGTTGCAATGATGGCCTCATTGGAGAATGAGGACATGCTTTTGGTGCTGCGATGATGTTATGGAGAAGGAGCGCCAGAAACTAAATATTCGCAAGGACGTTTTATAAGAAAGGGATTTACCAGACTCACATGCTCGTTTTGACACTGGCGCATTCAGCCTGGCATGGAAACAAGCAGATGGCATCCTGTAAATCTCAAAGTAGGGTTGCGCTAAGTACGCCTTCAGCGCTCCGGAACATCGTTACATTCACGTTTTGCTTGATAGGCTATCCAAGCTGATCCATGGGGGCATATGTGGCGCAGTCTACTCAGGTAGTCACCGGAAGCTGTCGAATGTACGTTCTGCTCAATTAGCCCTGTTGGAGACATCTCTTTGCCGCATTCACCGTTCGCGCATGCTTTATGCCCAAACAAAACTAGCGTCTTCATCTTCAATTCCTCATTCTGCTGATTGGCGAGATGCGCCACCAAGTGCTGCAATTCGACAGGCGCCCAAATCCTCATTTTGCTGATTGGGCAGGCTTCCGAGCCCCGAGGATTGGGATGCCGTAGCTGGGTGAACCGTTCAGTCTCAGAATACACTCTATAGCGCATCCATTCCGTTACATCCATCGCGTCCGCAGAATAGCTAGAAGCCATGCCGAAGAAAGATCGCGCATACTCGGTGCGCATTCCTCCGCAGGTCTGGGAGGGTCAGAAGGATAGAATCCTGGCCTTGTATAAAGAACACATCCTCTGCAAGGTCCTCGAAAAGATTACCACTACTGAGTTCAGTCCCAGGTCAGTCTGTTCGACATCGATTGACGTACTGTACGATGCGCTATATGTAAACTGACAATGTACAAGCGAGAGCCAACTTCGGGAGAAACTGAAAGAGTGGGGAAGCAAAAAGAGACTGTCCGCAAAAGAACGAAAGAAGATCAATCGCGAGATTGAGAGTAAGAAGCTGCCTATCGAACTATGCGAAGTCGTAGTTCATGGCGAGGTGCAGCCGGCCGAAAAGACATGTCGAGAATATGCAAGGACCTGCAATCGTGGCTACAGAGGTATGACCTGACCATCGTCGATCATTCTCGCGAGTAACATTCATGATCCTAGGGCTAAGCCCTGGTTTACCTGGACATATCCAGATACGTACCCCACGAACAGGAAGGTGGTCGTGGGTCCGAGCCCGACCCCATATGAGTATGATTTCGTGTGTCTGGGACTACACTAAGTGGGTTGGATATGGTTTTTGGGAAGGAGGTGGTTCTGCTCCTGTGACGGCAATGATAGGTCGTTCCACTTCTCGCTTTAGGGTGGAAAATCCGTTGCTCAGAGACCGGTCGCTCTGCAACACCTCAAAAGAGGCTGTGAGTGATACCGTATGTACTTCGGAAGACCAGATGCACGGTATGTTCGAGCGCACAACTTCTATATATGTGCTTATGAAGTTACAGATACTTCTTCCACCTTGCTCTTGGGAGAGTCTGACGTCGGTGATTACTCAGAATTGGATGGCGCCGCTGACGAAACGTACGAGTACGGCTTGGTGCCTGCTTCTCCAACACTTGCATGGTCGGCATCCGAGCGAGAAGCTGTGGGTATCTTTTCAGATGAATCGAGACGGCATGGGTGGGACACCTTCTTTGGCTGGAATGACTGAATGAGACACAGTCTTCACGAACCATGTTTGCTCGGTTGGAAGGATCACCGGGTAGCCTCATAGAGAGTAGTGCACCGGCTGAGTTGATAGCAATTCCCATCATCGGTTCATGAGATGGATAGCGACAAACGAATTACCTAGGTAATAGCACAGTGCATCCACTACATACAGAAAACAAACTGAACAGGCCTGGAGCCTACATTAAACCTACGATGAGCAAGTTTGGAGGCGTAACATCAATGTAGGCTCTAGGGTGTTTAGCTTTTCCAAGATTTTCTTGAACGGGGTGCATCCACCGCGCGGAAGCGGCCCGCTATGACATGTGAACTTCTCTCGCGACTCCACATTACCTAGGTAACTTCCAACCACCAAACATACACAATGCCGCGCCGCAGCCAGACACCCGAAGAATCCACCGCGCAATTGCCAACACAGTCGCAGTCTCATCCCGAATCCGACGCTCGTGAACCGCGCGCCCACAAGAAACATCATCGTTCGCATCGCTCTCACCGTTCGCGCTCCCCCCGTCGCGACGATAACACGCACCGACACAAGCGCCACCGCTCGCGCTCACCCGCCGCATCCAGACCCGTAGATCTACCGTACAAAGCAAAGCCGCTATTAAAGCGCCACTACGAGGACTACAAACCGCTATTCCAATCCTACCTCGACATACAGAAAAACATCCAACTCGACAGCCTCGACGAGCGGGAGGTAAAGGGACGATGGAAGAGCTTCGTCAGTCGCTGGAACCGGGGGGAGCTAGCGCGGAGCTGGTACGATCCTTCGATGCTGAAGACGGCGCAGGAGACTGTGCAGACGTATCGTGCGACTTCTCCTGTAGCGCCCAGGAAAAGAGCGTCGCCGAGCTATGCGCGGAAAGAAGATGAAGCTTCAGACGCAAGCGACGACGACTTCGGTCCCGCGCCGCCTACGAACCTCCCCAGACACACCGGCCACGGTCCCACAATCCCCAACATGGACGACCTAACCCTCCGCAACGAACTCCTCTCCGAAGACCGCGCGCATGGCCAATCAAACTACATAGACGACATCCGACACGCCCGCAAAACGGATCGGAAATCGCAGAAAGAGGCTCTAGACGACCTCGTCCCCCGCGCGGACCCCAACTCTCGTGAACGCCAACTAGAGAAGAAGCGCGAAACAACATCCACCCTAAACTCCTTCCGCGACGCCAAAGAAGCGGGTGAAGTCGACGTACCGGAGTCAGACCTCATGGGCGACGACGGGATAGACGTGTATAAGAAGAAGAAAAAGGAGCAAGAGAGGCAGAAGAACGAGAGGGAGATACGACGCGAGGAGATTGCGCGGGCGAGGGAGGCGGAGAGGAATGAGAGACTGGCGGAACGGAGGGAGAAGGAAGCGGGGACTATGGAGTTTCTGAAGAGGATTGCCGCAGAGAGGTTTGGGTAGTGTTGAAGAGGTGGTAGGGTATTAGTAGGCTGGGACAGTTGCTTCACATCTGATTGAGAAGAGAAATTGAGAGCTGATGGTTCAGCCTGACTGGGATACCAGTCTAGTGCGATTGACTGTATTATACAAATAGTAGATCCTCCGAATAGGTCGACTCCACAACATGCTCAAACACATTCGTCCGATCATCACATACCCCTACTCCTGAGCTCACTGTAACTCTCAAACACCCAACCCCAAGCACCCTCAAGCCGACGCCCTAGCACCACCCCTCGGCTTCTTCCGATCATGATCCACAATCCCCCTCTTCCGATGATTCTGCGCAGTCTTCCACCGAACATACAGCATAATCATATCTTTTAGCCCAACAAACATACATCCACCAACAACACTCCTGCCCCAGCGCGTTTGCAAGAAACCCGTTGGCTTGCCCACGCCACCGGCCTTGCCACCCGTATTGATCCATCCACCGAGCCATGATGTTGCTGGTGCACCTGTAGGAGGCGTGACCCATGAACTGGGTAAGCTTAGTCGGAGGATCTCGCCCATTGCGGCGGCGATGGTGGGGAAGATGAGGGCGCCGAGGATGGTGTCGGCAAGGGAGGTAGTGGAGAAGGTAACGCCGCGTTCGCGACGGACGCGTCGGGGTCGGGGTGCGGCGGGTTGCATGGGGATGTTGGGTGGAGGTGCTGCGTGTTGCTGGGGTTCGACATCGACCAGATCAGGCATCCCTGCGTCGTCCTGATCGTCTTGCGGTGGCGCGTCGATGGGTCCTGCTGGGCCTCGCGCGACGGGAACGGGGGGATGTTCGTGCGCGTCCTCGTCATCGTCGTCATTGTCCGCTTCGCCATTGTTGTTCCAGTCTGCGAAGATGTCGAAGTCGAGTTCTATCTCTACTTCTTCAATCACATCCTCGCCATCTCCGTGGTCGTGGTCATGGTCGTGATCATGTTGTACCTGAGTATCTGCGGTTGTGTCTTCACCAGCCCGGGGCTGGATTTCCTTCAGCCACTGCTGCTCTCGTGGTAACCACACACGCTCGTAGTATGCGTTGTAGAACCCTCGAAGATATGGTAGTGCGGCAAAGGTAAACGCAGCGCTCGGTGGCCACTGCAGTTGTAGCATGTCATCGCCTGGCTGTCCGGAGCTAACGAAGAAGATGAGCGGAAGGAAGGGTAGGAAGGAGTCGGCGAATGACGTTCGGCTTGCGACCAAAACTGTCGGAATTAACGGTAACCCAAGGTCTAACCTCCAGTGCTGCCTCAGGTGTTCTAGCCACTGCAATGTCACCGAGTTCACCGACCGACTCGGCGTCTCGTAGAGCGGCCCAAGAATCTGGAGCGCGTCTTGCGTGCCGAATATCTGGTAAATCGTTGCCGTCCCGGACAGCGTCAGTGTCGAGTAGAGCGCCGTGCCTGTGACGAGTGCGAAGCCTGGAAGCAGGAGGCTACCCGTAAGCTTCTCGACGCCCCGAACCATGTCCACCACGTAGCTCCTCGGTCGCTCTATTCTGATCTCGCTCTTGCACTGAGGACATAATATCTGCCCTGCTGCTTTACCAGCCCGTCGCCGTGAGCTGGGCGCCTCCATATCCGCTATCCAGTCTAGCAAACACCTCTCGTGCGCCACTAGTGAGCAGGCGCAAGGCGACCGCCATTCCGATGTCGTTTCGTCGTCTTCCGTCTCGTCGTTGAAGCAGATCCAGCATCTTCGCGGTTCGTCGTCTTCCTCTAATTGTGGCGCGGTGGTCTGTGTGGGTACCTCGGTCTGTTCTTGCGGCGTAGAAGAGGCTGACTGTGTAGATGGCGTATTGAGTAGCAACGTCTGCGAATCTACCGACTGCCCAGAGAAACTGTTCGTCCGTTCTGTTTGCTCCTGCTGTGAGGACGATGATTCGGCAGGAGGTGAGGGTCTATGTTGCGACGCGGGGCGCTGAGGCGGAAGAGACGCCATGACGGCTGAATGTGTGCGAAGAGGATCGGAAAGGCGCGTGATCGGTCGAACAGGAAGGATAAAGATTATGGCTCTGCTCTCTGGAACGTGTGACACGAAACAACAAGTGCGGTCAGGTTGTCGCGAGAACGGGTGCGGAGGTCGGACTGCGGATCGGTGTTTGTTGATTAGAGTTGCCGAAAGATCTACAAGACGTCACTAACTCCCTGTCACCTGTAGCGTGCCAAGACAAAGCACGTGCATGTTGACTTCATCAGAACGCCCGTCAGAAAGACTTATCCAGGAGTCGACATTAGTACAATGACAAGAGTTCGCAAAGGCAAAGGGCAATGTAGACCTTTGGAAGGTAGATGACATTAACAGAACAGGACTTCGATACACAATCATCCATCTCATCTACAATCGGATCTCCAAAATCTACCATCTCCTCCACAATCTCACCACCCCCTAGAACTATACATGTCAGCACGTATCGCTAGATCGACATATAACAGTACTTACAGGTGGATACATCCCCCTCAGATGAGGCGGCGGAACCGGTCCCCAGACCCACGTCGGCGCCTGGCCTGGTTGAGGTACTCCCAAGTACGACGGCACATGACCTCCTGGCAGGCCCTGAGGTACTGGGCTCCCGTCCAACGCGAACGGATAGGGGTGTGGGGCGACAACATTACCAGTCGCCTGGCTGTTTTGACGTCGGTGATGCTGTTGTGGGCGCCCGGGTCCACTGTTCTGGCGTCGATGACGAGACATCCGCTTGGTAAGCTTTTTCAGCTCTTTCAGCTGACCGTTGACGAGATGACGGTGCTTGAGCGTGTTAGGTGAGTCGCTGAATTGGCCTTCCGCAACATCGGGAATGTTCGGGTCCTGGTTGGAGCCGTTTTCGTGGAATGGCGAGCCTACTTCTTGCATCTCGTGTGGGTCGTGGGCGGAGCGGGTTTCGAACGGCTCCGCAACTCCTGGAGAAGCATGTGGAGCTGGTGCTGGCGAGTTCTCTTGCGGACCTCGAGCCGTTCGACGGGCACGCGGCGGGTCTAGACGCCAGTGTGACGTGATGCTGTCGACGTCCGAGAGGCTTCGGAAGCTGTGGTATGAGCCGGCCTCGTCATCGTCCTCCTCTTGGTTCCGTCCTCCAACCGCAACATTCTCTTGCTCAGCGACCTTGACCCAACCCGTTCCTTCTACGTACGCCAATTCGTAATGCGGAATAGCAGGATACGAACATACCTCTTGATCCACCTGATCGCCATCTGCCTTCAGACACTCTCCACAGTCGGCGCGGGGTTCTACGAGCACGCACTTGTTGTGAAACTCCAACGTTCCAGGGCAGTCGAGATGGCCGCAGTGAAGGTAGTCGATAAGGTGCTCCCGGGGGCCGTCGTTGTGCGTTACGAACCACATGATACACATGGTAGCGATTGGTAGTGGAGTGTAAACGGAGGAATGTGAGAAGCGATTGCTGATGCGGATTGGAAGGGACAGAAAGCGGTTGTTGCAAGATGATTGCGTTCAAGGTCAAGTGAGGAGACAAGCTGTGTTATTGACGGGTTAGTAGTCAGGCGTAGCAACGGAGAGAATAGCTGCACGGACCAATCGCGTAGCGTGATGTTGCGGACAGCAAACGGAGAGATCTAGGGAGACGCGTCGGGCTGTCGCGTTTGCAGTAGCAGAATGGAGATTTTGAGAGCAAGTTTTACTGGCGGCTACTAGAGATCATTGTGCTGGCCGATGGAAAGTTGACAATGGGTAGGATATGAAAAATAGGTATGGATGGTTCAAGTTGGGACAAAACGAAAGCAGTGAAAACTCTACCATTGGACACATATAGTCGGTCGTCGTCTTACCATCCCTCAATCGTGAAGTCGAATACCCTGTCACCCTTGCCCTTCTCAACCGGTTTCGCGTCGCCGTCATACAGCGTCCTCTCAAAATATGTCACCTTACCTTCCCGGTCGCATAGCACTACGATGTTCTTCTGAGTACCATAGCACCCACTCGTAGCGTCCACCGCCTTCGCCTTGACCAAGTCGCCTATCTCATGCGCAGGCATCTTGTGCTCTTCAAGATGGTCTCTTCCGATAGCCGGTATAAAGATGCTGTGACGGAGCTGGTTGAGGTACATGTCCCATTCCTCGTTCTCTTTCTGTCGAGGCATGGTGTCCGTGGTCAGGATGTCAAGAAGACGATTGATAAGCTGGTCACGAGATTCATTCGCGGCGACAGATTCCGCAATCGCAGTGCGCGTCCAGGCTTCTCCGTTTGTAACTTTTGGCCAGCTGCGGTCACTGTAGGCGGCGTTGCTGAGAGCTTGGGTTTCGTTTGGCGTTTGCAGGAGATGAACCACACCATGAACGTCCGGAGTGCGGTTACTGACGATCGCTAGACCCTTTCCTTCTTCTTTGACGACATCCTGGATGAATCCATAGCAGAGCGAGAAACCTCCTACACCTTCAACACCATCCTCTTCAATCATTCGCTTCGCGAAACCTTCTGTGCTCTCCCCTTTCTTTGGGTCGATCTTCAGCCAAGCGTTTGGAATTAATCCTCTGCTTCGCGCTCCCTCAACAATGGTCTGGTCCTCTTCACGGTAGTTGGTCAATACTGCGATTCGACCTTGACGAGTCACACCTAGCCAGGTGCCATGAGCAGGGCGATGTAGATCGTAGCCTCCTAGAACTTGCGTATCTGGAGATGGCCACCATGTTGCTTCTGCCGTTGGACGGTGAAGATACTCCTGGTCTGCATTAGTTGTGAGAGAAACACTGAAGCCTAACAAACGTACGTCTCGATTGTTGAGTAGAATGAATGGGTAGTCTGGGTGCGCGGTCGTAAGTATAGCGATGCACATGTTGATGGATGTATTCTGGTTGTAAGAGGGTTTGTGAGTTGAAGTGTGACAACGCGGTGTTCTGTGGCGTTGAAGTTTCGGGGAACGACGGGACAAGCGCAGAGTTTACCGAAGTGCAGTGTGAGCGGTGTGAATGAATGCCAACAAGTGCTTCAACGTTCAATTTTATACGTGGTTCCAACCGTACAGAATGTGGAGTGAGGTAGGACGACACATGGCGAGACAAAGGTTGACCGAAGGCGGAATCTGATGTCCCTGTGACATAACTAGAGTGCGACCTCGAGCCAGCGACGGTAAAGACGGCGGTACCTCACTTAACATTGACTCGTCGCACTTGCGTTAGCATGCTGTTCACTGCGAGGTACTCGAAAGCTGTGTGAGCCGTCGTTTTCTAGAGACGTCGCACAGCATGACTGTTCCTGCAGCGGAGTGACACGGCGGAGATGGCGATCATTCACGTGCCAGCGGTAGAACCCCGGCCCGTCTCGAGCTCAGATCCCTGTAAACGTCACTGCCCCGGTTACACCTGCCTCTGCGTCAGCCCTATCTCTTGCACCAAACTTCGCAATACCCACGAATTGAGCGACAAGCTCCTCATATACTGCATACGTCTTCTAAGTAAGAAACTATAATGGCAGCCAACTTCGCCCCATACCAAGACATTCCCGAATCGTCACGCGCGCTCTCTCCACCGCCGGTCCACTCGCCGAGGACATCTATCGACCGCACACGTAACATCACATCGCCCACCACACGCGCATACGAACAGCATGACTACTTCCAAGGTCAATCGCCTATATCGCCGCCCGCAGAACCCGATACAGAGCGCATAGCGTGGGATCAGCCTTCGCGGAGCACAGGCTTCGGCCGTTCCCGCGAGGATGTAGACATGTTCACAACGTCTTTAGGCTGGCGACTGGACTATGAAGCGTGTCTGGCATATCTTCTGTTACCACCAGCGGGTGGTGTGTTACTTCTGGTTCTTGAGCACCAGAGCGACTATGTACGGTTCCACGCATGGCAAAGCAGCTTGCTGTTCGCCTTCGTCTTTGTGGTGCACATCATATTCAGCTGGTCGAGCTTTATCTCCTGGGTGCTATTCATCGGAGATTTGGCGGGGATAGGGTGGTTGACTTGGAGGGCATATTTGGATGGTGGGTCCAAGTGTGAATGCTATAATGGAGCCAGGCGCTAACACGTGGACAGCCGCAACACTCGATCGATACGAGGTACCCTTCTTTGGCTCGCTGGCCAGCTCGATACTCGATGACGAATAGGGCGGCATGCGGAGACGGAGGATAATGTCGATATGAGCAAGCATGGCGTTTACGGAGTTTCTGACAGCGACGATCTTCAGTCGGCTTGGAGTGACATAGACTTTGACAATGCGATATTATGTTCCTGACAGTCTGTCGATTGTCACCCCTGAAGACTATTGTCAATGCTCATCCAACGAGTCAAGAGGTCTTTGAAGGATCGAGGCACACGCTAAACTTGCTACGCCGCATGCAAGGACAGTGAAAAATAAACGTCAACGACGGCGCCGCATGGACCGCAGGGTATCTCGCTACCATGTCCTTTCTGCGCTATAGATATCGCCCTGCGGGCAATATTCTAAGATTCGCTGCTTTCTCATCATTACAGCTTAGACACCGATGAACCTCCGTCCGTGACAACCACACCACAAGCGCTTCAAATGATGAATACGAGCATTTCTACCGCTATGACAGCGGCCGCTGGCTCTGGGACGAAGAGGAACGCTTACGTGAAAGATACAACAAGTTCAATGTCCCCGAGTTAAAGAAGATTGCCGTCCACAAGACGGGTGTACGATGCTGCTCATCGATGATCAGACTTGCGGAAGGCGATCGAGCCCAGCCTCTCGACTTGTCATGGACAATGGCAACTGATGAATTTAGCGCATTATGTTGTCACTAATACACCACCTTCTATCGGTTTCGATTATTGGCTAACGTGAGGTCATTGCAGGCATTGGAATGAGATCAACGATACTATGCTGCGTACTAGATCTTTTACACGGGAGGAAATTAGAGCGCATCTCCGCGAGAGAAGAGGTTGGGACGAAGACGCCGACTGGTAGAAGTCGAAGCAAGGTCTTGTTAGTCGGGATGGGTGGACGAAAGATGAGCTTTGTCAGCATCTTGTGAGAGATCGTGCAAAGTATACCCCGCATAAAGCTGATCGGAAGAGATGAGGAAATTGGAACATGGTCTATCAATAGATGAATGGCGGTAAGTTCATGTTGACGTTGAGCCAACAGTGTTTCGATATGATGAGCGAATTTTCGTCGTCGAAAGCGGCTATGGCATTTCAACGATTACACATGCCTCTGATTTCGGACAACATTAATCTTGGTTTACTAGGTGGCCACGAGTGAGTTGTCCCTTCCCCTGTCACTCGAGCACAACACGACACCCTTGATTGATTGAACTGAACGATCTCGTACAGGGCCACCAACGAGAAGATCGCGGTGCAAGACTGCCTGTCTGGTGAAAGTTGAATTCGACAACTATCATGATCAACCCTTTTCCAGCTATCAGACCATTTCTTTCTATATTCGGCCCAGTGAGTGTTGCGCAGGTGGTTGGTGTGGAATTGAATCCATCCATTGTATGATCCACAAAGAAAGCGAGCTTCCAGTGTGAAGGCCGAGTGGGTTGAATCTCGCTCATACCAAACACATGACGTTGTCTCACCAATCTTATCATGGTATGGACCCATAGCCACTGGGAGAGTTATCGATGCAAACTTTGACAGCAACCTTGAGTCGTGTCTTATTTCTGAGTAGTTGCGGGGTATGGAGCGCTCATACACAGGATCCCAGTACGCCAGCACCGGCCGCTCTAGCGTAACCCCCAGGACCGATGCGACTATGGCTATCGAGCATAGGCAGAAAGATCGCCCACAAGATTCCAGAACACCGATAGCCACCTCAACGTCCGTAATGTCATAGTCCACAGGCACGTCGGAGCCGTCACCACACAATGATAGTAGCGCATAAATACGGTCGCGTAATATGCCTGACTGCTTATGTTTGAAAAGTTCCATAAGGTAAATCAAGCTTCTACCTCGAAGCTCTGGTGTTGTTCTTGGGTCCAGTGCGACGACTCGGTGATCACAGGCATCGTCAAGGTTGAAAGAGATCGACTTTGCTGCCAAACTTGCCTTTCCGGCCATGAACGTGATGTGGCGGGCAAGGGCGATCTCCTGCGTGATCCAGGCACGATCCCAATCATCGACGTAACAGAAATGACGGAATGCAACGGCGTTTGCATGTGTAATCCCTCCATCTGTATTTTCTTTTGTGATTCCTGCTCTTCGCCTCCATGTGCTCGGCAGCTTTTTTCTAGCTTCCGTTATCTCTTTTAGGAGTTTTGATGTCTTCAAGAAGGTTACTATCCCCGCGTTCGTACCTAGCCACGCTACAACCTGTAGCGCCCCTGAAAATATGTCTCCCATCTGTTTCACCTGATGGTTCCTCTCCATAGTGTTACTCTGATCTATACAAATGGCATCAATCCAGAACGAATAAGGTTGTAACTGCCGCTGCTGCATGGCCTCTTCCAAGAAGTTGTACAGGTTCTGTCGGATGCGAAACCGCTGGCCATTCACGAGAATCCATCGACAGCTATCATCAGCGCCCCAAACGTAGGACAGGCAGAAGTAAATGCTCGTAGTTGATGCATGTCGCATTTGGCATTGGATGAAGCCGTCTGGGGACCTTGAGGCTTGTATGCGAAGTAGACGGATAGATGGCGCGCAATAGTCGAGAGGGGTGTGGATGAATTCCGACGGCGATCCAGCGGGAGGTGTCTGACTCTGATTGGCTGACGGTGGTGAGGCATCTATCTCCATCGGCGTGTGGAGGGGTCGACAGCCCATCTGGTAGAAGTGCCAGTATCAATTATCAACTGAGATGCGAGTATCGTAATGGATAAGAGTGCAATGTGGAAGAGGATTGCCCATTTGAACAGGGTGCCTGAAAATGGCTTTTTGTCGTAGCCTGAGGCATCCAATCGAGCGGGGCAGTGCAGGCTGCTGGAGGCCAGTGACCACCACAACAACAACCCGCCTACACGCTTTGTAGTCAACAGCAAATCGTCAGGCGGCCAATGTTGTGATGTAGAACTGTACCTCGGTCGATCATAGGACCTTACGATGATAGCCTAGGCCTTACCGACAGCATGCGCGAGCAGTCCCAGTAAAGTTTCATAAGTGCAAAAAGTCGTAGCGTCTAAGTCTAATAGAACGGCGAGCCTTTCCGTGTAGAATAGAACACAGAGTTTTCATTCACTGCACGTCTTTCTACTTCTCAAGATATCTGCCCTCATTTGTTGCGTTGATAGATACACGTCGCTAGACGGGTATATTACTAAATCCATAAGTTATCGCTGCCCCGTTCGTTTACCATTAACCAAGTCGAAGTCATCTCAACGACATCTAACTGCGATAGCGTCGCATTCAAACTCTCGCATCATCCAGTGCGGGCCGGCCTTCAATCGTATCAAATACGGGTCCAACGAATTGCTTCTTCCCTCCAATAAACCACCACACAGCGCTCAACACCAGAACGCCTCCCAGAACGACCGGCGCGTAGTTCATGTTCTGGGCCGTGACAGGTTGATATGGCGGGAAAAGAAGGAAGATAGACACGTAGACAGTGTAAATGATAGAAACAAGGTTGACACCCACACCCAATTTTCCGAGCCTGAAGGGGCCATACGGCAGTGATGTCGGACGAGCGATCCGCCGGTAAAATATGAGCAATATCGGCATCAGGTACGAGATGTACAGACCGACTGTGCCAAGTGATACGATAGCGTTGAAAGCAGTAGTGGAACCGATGTTTAAAAGGCCGATCAAAATGAGAAAGACGCTGGTGACCGCTATCGCTGGTAGAGGTACATGATGTTTGCTGTCAACTCGGGATAGCGTTTTCGAGCAAGGTAGTCCAGCGTCCTGGGCGAAAGACCACAGCA